TATATATATATTTTAATTGAGATTCTTATTGTACATCTACTATTAAACAGAAAATGTATCTGTGTTTGACTATGACATACTGATTGGTACACTATCACAGACATGAACTGAAACTGGACTTTTATTTATACTTTATTGCATTCAGAATACTGCACAAAATTAAGCAATTCATTTAAAATGTAGATTCTATTTATAATTTTGTCATTTAAAAATGCTAAAAAATTATGCGCTTAAATATTATAAAACAATCGTCAAGTAGTTTGACCAGTCTCAATTTTCACGATATAAGTATTAGATTATTACATCTGCATTATCCAAAAACAAGCCTTAGATTATTCACTGATTGATTGGTTGTCTGAGAGACCCCATCAGCAGCTGACCAACTCTGACAACATCACATGTGGTGAAAACACACACACTGTGGCTCTTTTTCAGCTCCTTCGTGCGGTCTAGTGTCATCATGCCCCGGCTGATGACGCCCTGCAGTTCCACGGCAACCGGACACTCGATGCTCTCTGTGATCACGCTGCTGTCGATGCACGCTGCCATTGCGTAGCTGTCGTAGGAAACGAAGCCTGCTCCGAAGTAAATGTCTCTCTTGTTCTTCAGAGATTCTTTGGAATAGGCGGAGCACCTTGACGTTATCGTCTTCATGAAGCGAGCGGCAGTGGCATCCTGGTTGATCAGCTCTTCAAAGAACTCCTGGCAGAGTGAACGTCATTGGTCAGTTTGAGCTCCTGACGTTCCTGAGCATTCCTCGAATCGGTGCATAATTCTGATATTCTTTGAAACAATATCAGTTAAAGAATTTTGAATTGTGTTCATATTTTTGGCAAATCTCTCTGTCTTGATTCTCACCATACAAATGCTTACAACATTTTCAAGAGGAGATCGATCTAGACTGCATGCTGGCCAGTTATGGCTAAGCTATTGTAGACCCGAGTACACTTAGGTTGTGGTATAATCTTTCAGCTTGTTTCTTCTGCAGGTATTTGTTTAAGGACTGGTTCCTGCCACAACACTCTTCATCGGCACTTTACAACCCCACTTAAATAAATACAACAGAGTCAGACTTTAATAGGTTCAAGAGGTTGTTTACTTTTGCAAAGCTTACCCATGTCAACATATTTCTGCAGGCAAACTCCCAAGTCGCGACGTATGTTTGGCACAGAAATTCTTCCAGAACGACGTAGGCAGATTCTGGGTCCATTGCAAAGTTGAATTCGGCACATAATGTCACGTTTCCTTTTCCTGCAGAAAATAAATACATTTGTTTATGTTTTTTCCCTGTATCTCCTAAACACAAACACTACAGTCATAGTCTCACCTTCCATGTTGCCGCCCATAACATAGAGGTCTTTAAGCTTTTGTGGAAAACACGGATCCAGTCTGACGGCCAGTGCCAGATTGGTGAGTGGGCCGAGGGCCACCAGGGAGACCTAAAACGATGTTTTATGTTTTAGCAGCACATCACCACAGGGGGGCAGCAGATGACAACAGTGAGTACCTCACCTTCTTCTGGTTTTCAGATACTAATCTGATCATGGCATTGACAGCATGTTCTTTCTGAATTTTGCCTTCCCAGTGAGGATCTTTATCTGTAATCACGTCTCCAAGTCCATCACCTCCAAAGTGGTCGTTAATCAAACAGGATCCTGTGACCAGAGGACTGCCAGACCCCCGAAACACTGGAATCTGTAGGGTAAAACGAGTCTCTGTCATACAATTACATTTTTTTTTAATTCAAATTAATCACAGGGGAGCTGATGATTTAGCCCAGTTAATCAGAATTAATTGAGGAAAACAAGTGTTCTTGCTGAAACAAAAATAACAAAAAGTAAATGTATGCATTTTAAGTAGCCTTATATATAGATGTAACTATTCCATAACAGACAAATACATGTTTCCGCAATTGATTATTATTTGATTATAAAACGTTTAATTTCTCAGGTTAAGAAACTCTGCTGCATGGACTTTACTAAATACTTCTTAAGCTCCCGCGGACCACACAAAACAGTTTGGTGGGCCGCATTTGGACCCCGAGCCTTGAGTTTGAACCATATGATTTAGAGTGCCCAATATTACAAGGGTTCTACCAGCATCTGCCACCGTGTGGCCACTGCGTGGCATGCAATCAAATTAATCAGAAATGTCATACATTAATGCACGATTGGATCCTCGAAATGCTAGATGTTGTAATGTGTTGAAAAGATGCTTTAACAGAGAAAAGTGAATATTTTCAGCCAACATACCCCCTCCTGCTCACAGACAGAGAGCACTGCAAGAACATTCTGACACACATTTTCAACTGCTGCATTTCCGAACACACAAGTAATGCCCAGGATGTGGACATGAGGGGCTGCCAGTGCCATCATGATAGCCTGAGCATCATCTATGCCACAATCTGTGTCGATGATGATTTGTTTCTTTTCCATGGTCCACTGTGAAGACCAAACAAACAAACAAACAAAAAGGAATCACATAGGTAATAAAGTTCTTAAAGACTTTGTTTTGAACATGTGTCCAAATTAACAACAAAGACACTGTCAGGAATTAAACTGTAATACATATATATACAATACAATACAATATTGGACATATCGTTGTTAACTGACCCCTACTTGACACTGTCAGGAATTACATACACTGTAATACATATATATGACATATCGTTGTTAACTGACCCCTACTTACAGTACCAAGTATGGATGTTTTGGCACATCCTGACACATACAGTATAATAACTGCGTGTAAAGCAATCACATAACTGGTGTAAAGCCATCAAATAACTCAGGCTAGGTATGCAGATAATGTAAATGGAGAAAGTTTGTAAATGAAGGTGGTTGACTGTCAGTTTAATATTAAACTTGATGTGGTTTCACCTAGTAAATACTTCTGCCATGTCATGCTCACAACACCGCTGTCCTGACGGCTGCCTGTGCTATCAAATATATAGTTTTAAAATAAATAAATAAAAATAAGATAAGATCAACCAGCATTAATCACTGCGGTAGTTGAAATTGTGCTTCTACAAGGCACACGACATGACATGACGCAAGGCAACTATCACACTGTATGCCAAAACATTGTTTACTTTAACTTTACAATTGCACAAGAGTTAAGTAAAAATTAGACTTCAAAAACTTACCTTAGTTGTGCAACTCAATAACGCAATATTGACGCTCACGAGCACTTTAAATAACTGGAATGTTCCATTTTTGATCTAAAGCAGTTTGTGAGCGCATTGAAAACCTCCTTAAATTGTTACGGCGGATTACTAAAAATAGCTATGAAGTAAAATAATATTAAATAAAAGTCCAGTCTCCACAATTATTAACTTTATTTTAACCCGTTAGTTGAAATTCGTCGATTTACTATATACGTATCACCCCTGCCGCTAACAATAATAGTACAGTCCAAGAAATCTGCACGAAAAGAATTATACAGTTGTTTTTAAGTCGGGTGCCACAGTTGCCAGATTAGCTTAATATAAGCGACTTGGAGTTGGTTTTCTGTCAAACATTTCGTTTTGTGGTTTGTTTAAAAGTACTCTCGCCTTTCCCTGACTCTAGTTTTACATTCCTTTCATTACAATTGCTACTTTATCCGGTTGCAGCATAGCGTAGCCAAACGGCATCCTCTACGTGAAGTTTGAGGTGAATAAACGCCTCCTCAAAATAAAATGTTTGTTTGAGCGCCCTACAAACAGAACACAATATTTTTCAAGATGTGAAAAAACAAAATACTATACTACGACCTTATGAAAATAAAGATTGAGAGAGGTTTATATATCGCCCCCCTTCATTGTGAGCAGTAGTATGGGGCGCTCTTTGGGATTGTTTTACACATGATCGCTTGTTTCTGGTACGAGACCTGGCAACACTGTGCAGACGCAATAGTAGCAGGACGATGCTTCTGGACAACCGTGGATTATTTTAAGATGGTTGTGTTTAATGAGGGTTAAAATAACGTTTAATTTAAAGTTACAAAGTAGACGTTGTGTCAAATAATCATTAAGACGGATATTCGTAACGGCTAACTCAGAGACAAACCTGGTGTAGCTCTATGGTCACCCGAATATAGACGGCGTCACAGGTGAGATATAAGTTAATAATAACAGTGATAATTAAAAATAAAACCAATATACGCTTGCTGTGGGAACGGGTGACTTATTGTTGGGTCAGAGTTAGTATTGTAGTCTAGCCGTTAGCTAAACATTGTACTCGAGTGCCTTGGCTTAGCAAACCTCCACGTTAATGTTTAAAGACCATTTCAGTTCTCCTACATCCTCTCTATTGGCCTATGTCTTCACTGACATTCACATGGTTGTATTTTTTTTTTCATTCAGCCTCGCTTATTATCGTGATGAACATGAAAACGAACACATTTGACCAGGGATAACCTACAGAATGATATGTAGAGGAGCTAGGTTTGAACATGTGCTGAAGATGGATAGTGTTTATTTATTTATATATATATTATGTTTGTAAAATGATGTTAAAGAGAAGCAGTCAGGCAGGAGGGAAGAGTTAATACCTCGACAAGCATTTATAGACGCAGTTAAGAAGATTACGACGTATTGTGTCGAACTGAAAGAGTCAGAAGTTAATTGTGACATTCTCAAGGGTGCACCCGAAAAAGGACGACACACTTAGCGTGCAAAGCTCTCCTCTTTCATACTGACTGTCCAGCACAGTTACCGTCTTTAATGAGAAAATAACTTTGCAAATGTAAAGATATGTACCTGGGTTTTTCTACCACGGGTAGTGTGGTATTAGTATAGCAAAGAATGCTCCTTCAAACCTCGAACAATCAGGCAGTTTACTCTGTAACAACACAGAGTTAAGTTTTCATCAAACACTGTTGATGTTTGGCCAGCTAGTTAAACATTGCTGTGGTTTTAATCAGTGGAATAGAGATTACACATGGTAAAAAGAAAAAAAAAATCCTTTGTGAGAGATAGACAGTTAAAAGTGTATATATAAGAAATAGTGCAATAAATAACACTTTGGTTTGTGAGGAACACATTATTTTATGCCATAGCGACCTGCCATATTACATATAAATTATGGCAGCTGAACCAGTCTAACCAACAATCCATTCCAGACCAAAGGTTTCACAAGAATCGAGGTGCCATAAAAGTTGGTCACCTGACCAAAATTTATGATGTCAAAATGAGGTTACAAGCCCGGTTGTTGGGAACTATTGACCAAGACTTTTTTTAGCATTGGCATTTGGAGTTTTCTGTTCATTCTCTCTTGTCAATTTGTTTTCTTATTCTGCCTTGTTGTTTCAAACAGTTATTAGATAGTTTCAGAAAATTATTGTACTTACCTGTCTAAGAACCAATAGAATGAAAGGATTCCCCCTTTTTTTTTGTTTCCGTATTGAAAGATTCTTGCTATATTCTGATCTGGATCACAGTACCAGTCAAAAGATTCTTGCTGTGCGAGGTGTCTTTAGGCAAGGAATGGAAGCAGCCGGTAGGTGGTCGATTCGTTTTAATAGCAAAACGTCAAACAAAACAGGTCTAACAATAAAGCAAAATAAACGACTGGAGCAGTATCCAAGGAAATCTCGTACAATAGTTGTTAATACGCAAATCCTCTCAAGAATAACTTCTCAAGAATAACTTCTCAAGAATAACTTCTCAAGAATAACTTCTCAAGAATAACTTCTCAAGAATAACTTCTCAAGAATAACTTCTCAAGAATAACTTCTCAAGAATAACTTCTCAAGAATAACTTCTCAAGAATAACTTCTAAAGTGTCATTAGTTGTTTATGCTTATATACCTGTGTGGGGGGGAGTGGTTTTCGACTTCCCAGGTGTGTGTTTAAATCTTGTAGGCCAATGGAAGAGAGGCTAGGCTTCTTGTGGCCAATCATATTATTGTTCTTGTATCATGTGATGCCTGCAGTCGCCACTATGTGGTGCTGCTGCTCCATGATTCAGCAGTGTTGGAGGAACATTTTGTTGCTCAGTGGGGGGTTATCACAAGGGAAGTGGACGGAGCCATAAAGTCCAGTCAACGACAGTAAGGAAGTAGAAAGTTGGTGTGAAGAGAATTTGGGGAAAATCTCTTTGAATGTGTGGGGCTATGTGACTGTGTGTGCTCGGGAGAGCCTTTTGGTGTCTTATCAGCTTCCTGCTGCAGACCCAACCAAATGTGAAAACCACTGAAATCTAAC